CCCCTGTTACGCGCCTGCTTATAAGTGGGCCCCCCCACTTTGAAAAACGTTCCGCCGGCCCTGTTATATTATATATGTAAATTATTAGAATGGGCTTTATGTTAATGAACCAAAGAAGCAGCAATACTGCTTCCATTCCATTTTACATTTTTGTTAGACATTAAATTTTGTTTCTGTTGCAGCATTTGATTCCATTATTGAAGTACGTCCGTGGTGAGGTACTTTCGCAGGACCACTGGCTGGATTTGTTCCGAATGCTGAAGATGCCCAGGGATACGACGCTGGAGGAACTAACTTTTGGACATGTCCTCAATGCCTCCAGTGAAATCATCAGCAATGGAAATGAATTGAAGGTTAGTTGGCATGCATTTTATATTTTACATCATAAATAGCTTTAAAAAAAAATTAAAATCTTGGAAAAAGGCACAAAATTAATACGATATAGACACATGACCAGTGTTGTAGCTAGCAGGTTTTGAGTGCCGGCTATTATGCGTGGGGTCCAGGGGCCCACTGAAGGGCCCCGAAAGCGCTAGTGGGGGTCAATGCCCCTTGAAGCTGAAAGGTTTCAGCTGCTTTTTAATGACTTGGAGAGGTCTCCCACCTCTCTCCTATCATATTAATATCATTTTCACAATTATTTATTTTTTATGGGATCCAAATTTTCGACTTTCCACATCGGAATATATGGTATATAATGTGAGTGATATATTTATCTGATAATTTAATTAAAGTTTACACATATTTTGTGCCGATTGGATGATAAAAATTTGATCTCACCCGGCCGGCAACGACCGGCGTAGCTATAATACTGCACATGACTAAGTTTTGGCAAACAATTTATTTTCATTTAAGAAATTGTTTAATCGAGCGCAGGGAGAGGTATCAATTCGTGAGGCACTGAGAGAACTTGAGCTGTGGGGTGCTGCAGCTGTGTTTACACTGACGGATTACTCCGACAGTCAAAAGGTAACCATCAAACTCATCAAGGATTGGAAAGATCTTGTCACCCAGGTATGTCTTTAACTCCTCAGTTATCGATCTTAAAACACATTTTGGATTTCAGAACTATTCTCAAGCAATATATTTTTTGATTGCCTAGCTTTTTTATATATTTTGCATTTCAGGTCGGAGACAACCAAAGTCTATTGCAGTCGCTTAAGGACTCGCCATACTACAAAGGATTCCTGGATAAGGCAACCTTGTGGGAGCAGAGGTTGGCAGATCTGGATGAGTATCTGCACAACCTGAACCAGGTGCAGCGTAAGTGGGTATACCTTGAACCAATCTTTGGCAGAGGTGCCTTACCAAAGGAGCAGGGGAGGTTCAGAAGAGTTGATGAAGACTTCAGGTACCAAAGCAATTAATATGATTCAATTAAATTTTGTAGGATAATTATAAGTATGATGGTCTCACCTTTATAATCATGGTTAAATCTGTAGTACCTTTTAATGGTCAGGTGATATGAGGCCATATCCACATTATCCAATCACATGATGGCATGTTCTGTATGGTTACATTTTCTAAAGTCCTATAGATAAATAAAAAATCAGCAACATTTTGGAGATAAATATAGGAACAATGTAATTATTATATACTCAACTTAACATTAAAAACACAGTATATTTTCAATAAACCAATCCATTAATTACCAATCAATGGTATATTTATTAATAATTGCGATTCAGTTAATATACTATGCATCCAGGAATAAGCTGATTCATAGTTTGAACTGCACATGCCCCGTTTGACATTGCGCATTTCTAACTACAAATTTGCTTATCAACCAATGAATTACAAATCTATTATGTAATCAGACAACCATTCAGTAAAAAAAAAAAACAATCAATCAATCAATTGTTAATAGGTTATTAAATTATGATGTCCATACTTCTTACCATGTAGGAGCATCATGCTGGATGTTACCCGTGACAATCGTTTGTTATCATTTGTGGTGCACCCTGGCTTGCGAAACATATTAACAACGGAGCTTGATCAATTGCAGAGGTGTCAGAAAGCACTGAATGAATATTTAGAGGTAGGCATCTCTTTGACCAATCAGAACATCCGATACTTGGAATTTAATCTGGTGTCTGACAAAATTAAGCCAATACAATTATGGATCTTATAGCTAGACACTTTTATATCTCTTTATTTATATATATATTCCTTCATTATTTTTATTATTAATACAGGATAAACGTTCAGTATTTCCTCGTTTCTATTTCATTGGCGATGATGATCTTCTGGAGATCTTGGGTCAGTCAACGAACCCAGCTGTGATTCAATCTCACCTGAAGAAACTCTTTGCTGGAATCCATAGTGTTGATTTTGACGATGAATGCAAGCACATTCTTGCCATGAAGTCCATCCAGGGAGAGGTTGTCCCTCTCCTGAAGCCAACAGAGATCATTCCAGAAGTTGAGGTAATGGATGTAAAGTAAGGTAGTTAGATTTTTGTAGTGTTTTATACTAAAAGAGTCTCAAAGCACAGTGTGGACCTAGTTACATTATACTTGTTTCTCCTGTAATGGTCTCTACGTATCTGAGCTACATGGTGAATTGGTACTAGTACTGTTGTCTGTCCGCAACGGGGGCTGATTGAACCAGTACACCGGGGTAACTCATAACTCATCTTGAAGTACAAGCCAAATTGTGTACCTGGCCCTACGGTTAATAGTCCTTATCTGAGAAGACTTTTTCCACCACCAGAACCATAGGCGAGTGTGCTGATATTATGGCTGTACTTTGCGGTGCCCCTGTCTTAACCACTTAACTAATTGACTGTAATAGTACTGAGCGGAACTGTAGTTTGGTTGATTGTGTACTTACCTTTTTTATTCAGGGTCATGATTTATTATTCATTTTCTTAATCCAATGAGGTTCTAGAGTCCTACAGTAGCTTCAAATACTCAACATTAGAAATCAACAACATATAAATAATTATATATTCAATAAGTATTTTAACTCATCTTAGTCCCGGATTGTAGTTACTAAAGAAACCTTACCACCAAGCATTACCACTACCTCTTGCACTATAAAATTCTTAACATCCGTACATTAATTGGATTTTATAAAACTTTAAGCCAAAATTTATTACTTCAGTACATGTAATCAGTTTTTAGCCTTCCTAGCAAGCCCTTCTAGCAAGCCCTTCACTTTTTCACATACTCTGGTGCATCAAGATGACAGTTACAACTATGGTTCTTCCTTCGCATTTTTCATTGATTAATGCTGATGGTAAATTTTGTCTCTAGATTTGGCTAGGCCGGTTTGCAGAGGAGATGAAGGCAACTCTGCAGCAGCTGCTTGTTGAGTGTTTGAAGGCCTACAAGAGTGGAAGCAGTGCTGGAGTGGATCCATCCAAGTATCCATCACAGGTATTGAGGGCATTCTTCATAGCTTAAGAGCAAATTTCTCATGGTCATGTGATAATACAATTCAGTTGTATCATAGCTAATCAATCACAGCAATGCACAATCCAGTATGTTTCTATTATCTTTACACTGCACAATAAAATGTGTTATTTTGTGAATACTTGGATAATTTGACTATTGCTGTTGCAGTTTATTTCGTGATTACCTGGATAAACTGATAAATGCCTAAGTTTCCTTTGGAACTTACCTCTCAAGCATAAAAGAAAATAATTGGCTCGCCCTAGCTCGCCCATATACGCCCTGGGTGTATGAATAATATCCTAGTTTCCTTTTCGCTTTTATCTTGTATAGATGTGTGAAAGCCTTTTTATCAGAGTTTTCTTTTGTTCTCTAACAAAGATTTGTAAAGTTGTATTGTAGCCATGTCCGCGAGGAAGCATACTTTTTCGGTGTGTGGTGGGCCTAGGCCTAGCCCATGCGACGATAAGCACCCTGCTTGCCCGGCGTGTCACTCTTGTGGGCAGGGCGCGCCATGTGATATTTGTAAAGCCTGGACTTCTGCAAGGTTCCAGGCTGCTGCAGCTTGGATTGCTAGCAATTTCGGGCCCAGCTTGGATTTTACTTCTAAGTCGTCCTTCCCACCAGCTTCCATGTTCCTGGGCCATCTTTATGCGCATCCCAGGAGCAGGTCCTTACTCCTGATTTAGTGAAATTGATCTCTGATCAGGTTTCGCGCATTACGAACGAAGCATTATGTCTTCGTTGCAGCAGCAGCGTGTTGCTGCTACGCAAATTGCTCCTCCTCTTGTTCCCCCAGCTGTTCCAGTAATTGGAAATACACCGGCCGCGGGGTCAGAGGTTAGGGTTCCTGCGGAGTTTTCCCCTGGTGCTATTGCCATGGATTTTTCAGATGGCGATGTTTCATCTGAGCTTGGTACGTCTGGTGGGGTCTGCAACCTTTGGTTTGCAAAGTCATGCCTGCTGTTCTTGACCACCTGGGGGTGGATTACGCGGTTCCTTCTGCCCCTTCGGGGGAAGGGGCTCCAGTGTGGGCACCTGCTGCCCCTCTTCGTGCGTCTTCCCTGACGCCTGTGGTCCCCTTCCCTGCGGACCTTATTGCCTGCTTGGGTGCCCAGGCCTAAGATACTGTAGTTCGTCCCGTAGGTCGGCACCATGCCGTCTCTCTGCGGCGTTTCCTGTGCCTGAGGCACAGTTCTGCTCCCTTATTATAGCCCCCTAAATTCCTAGGGCGGCAAGAACCAGGCTCTGTGAAGCTCAGGGGCTCTCTGCCGGGTCTCGGTTGTTTTTTTCTGACAAGGGCTTGGCTGCTGCGGAAGACGCCCTTCAGCTGGCATGCATGCTGTCAATGCCTCTGGTTATTTGCTCTCCTGTTCTTGGGCCAGATGATATTTCGCTGATGCGTGAGTGCATTGGTTTGATCGCAGACCAGTTTGCGACGATAGTTCTTTCGGCGGATTCTCCTCGTCGTTCTAATGTTCTGCGGGGTACGTCCATCTCACAGGGCCATTTTGACCGCTTCCACCACTGCCCTTTCTACAGAGCCAAGGATTTGTTTTTTGGCGCCAATGTTGAGGCTTGGGCCCGAAAGTTGGAGGCTAACCAGCAGACACGCTCATGTTACCAGGGCCCCGATTGCGCCGGCGTTCGTTCCAGGTCTGGGCGTGGGACTTCCCCACGTCGTCAAGCGGTTCGCCGTTACCCAAGGGCCTACCAACCGCCTCCTGCACACCTTGTAGTGCCTCCCCCTCCTTCTCTTATGAGTGTCCCGACTGTGCCCCCGGCCCCTGTGGCACCGGTGCGTCAGCCAGCTCCTGCCTTGGACTCTGCTTATCATAATGTTTGTCAGGGCCGGCGTTGACGGAGAAGTCCCCGCTACCGGTGAGGGTGATGGTCCGTCTGGCTCCGCATGTGGTGTCGGACCAGTGGGGGGAAGGTTATGCCTGTTTGGTATGGAGAAGGCTGTCAATAAACAGTGGGGTTCTCCATACCATTTCCCAGCGATTATGAATCGAATTCACTTTACCACCACCGGTAGGCGTTTACAGGGTGACTCGGATCCCTGTCCACCCCGGCAAAAAGAAGGCCCTTTTCTAAGGGGTATAAGATTTGTTATCCAAGGGCGCGGTGGCGTTAGTCACTGCCTCGCCTCCAGTCTACGGTTTCGCATGGATTCTTTGCCTGTAGTTTTCCAGGGTCTTCGGCCTTGCGATTGTGATCCACATTTAGGTGATGAAGTCGCAAAACTTTATTTGCATTTGGTGGATTAAGTCGCAAAACTTTAGCTTCGTTTGGTGGCACCATTTCCTAGGTAGACGGCGACCGGTTTCGTTAGCGGTTGGTACATTTCTTACAAACATTCAGCCAAAGGCCAGTAGAAGTTGAGACGGCAGCCGTGTTTTTATCGATGTGTGCCATCGTAAAGGAAAATTGCGTTTTAATTTAAATCTCCGAACTTCTGAAGCTGACATATTCTATGAAGAATGTAGGCTTGTAATGCAGGCTACAATTTAAAAACGGCCCGGACTCATTCAAAAATTCGAGGGGGTTCGCTAGAAAACAGGGGGGTTCGCTAGAAAAGGGGGGTTCGCCCGAACCATAAAAACCCCCCCTGGCTACGGGCCTGTCAGCACATATTCAATATTTACAGCAGACCCCACATTGATCTCTTTGCAACAAGGTTGACAGCGCAACTCCCAGTGTTTTGCTCTCGACGTTACTCAGAGCCCACGAATGCCCTGTCAATCCCATGAGACGGTCTTTGGGCCTACACTTTTCCACCCCTCTCTTTTCTTTCTCGGGTGATGGCTCTTATCCAGCTTCACACGTGCAAGATCCTCCTTGGTGCCCCCGACAGGTGGCTCCCTCTGATGTTGGATCTCCTCTACGATCTCCCACGCATTCTACCACCTCGCCCAGACCTTCTGTCTCAGGCCCAAACTCATGAAGGACTAAACAACCGGAAGTCCCTGTCTTTGACTGTCTGGCCATTGTCCGAGCTGAGTTCAGATGCGGTGGGATTCCAGAGGGCCCTACCTCCCTTGCCGCCCAATCACGCAGTGAGTCCACTAGAACCCCTCTCAACAGTCGCATTAAGCATTTTTCTTGATGGTGTTCCGACTACGAAATTGATCCACTGTCTCCCTCTCTAGGAGAGGTGTGTACTTTCCTGCATTATTTGTTTGAATCTAGGTTGCAGGTGCGCACCATTGCGGGGTATTGATCAGCGTTAGCTGTGATTGTACTCAAACTTCCTGATGGATTGAGTATTTCTACTTCTAGTGCAATAGCGCAGTTAATGCGTGGAATGTTTAATTCTCGACCACCTTGTCGTGTTTTGCTGCCTCGGTGGGACCACACAATTGTTCTCGAAGCTCTTATGGGACCTCCTTTTGAGCCGTTAGGATAAAGAGGATAAATTATGGTGTCCCGTTAGGGCCATTAAATAATTACATTGACCGCACGAAATCACTTAGAAGTGCTAACTCTCATCCTTTTGTTTCCTCTGTTGCTCCGCATGGCCCATCCAGTTGGCCTACACATCATCTCATACACCGCCCCCTGCCCATATGCATGAGGTTTGCAGCTCTGTTACATCCTAGGCTTTGTTCCGTGCGGTTCCACTACCGGACATTCTCCAAGCGGCATGGTGGCTTTCAGACCCAACATTTTCCTCACTTGAAGGATGTTCTTGCCTCAGAGGCTTCAGTAGCTGAGGCAGTTCTTTGCCAGTCACGTTAGGTGTGTACCTTCTTTTTTGTTTGATCCCGCCCTCCACCGTTTGCCGGTGCTAATCTGGCATTTATCGGTTTATCCAGGTAAGTAGTCACGAAATAGACTATCAGTAGTGATGTTATTAGTCTAAGAGTGAGATACCTGAATAAACGCCCTCCAACCTCCCTCGCCGAGATCTGTTATAGACTCGAAGTCAACAAGGATATTGTTCATACACACAGGCGTACTGTATATAGGCGAGCTAGGGTGAGTCCATTATTTTCTTTTATGCTCGAGAGGTAAGTTCCAAAGGAAACTTAGGCATTTATCGGTTTATCCAGGTATATCTCACTCATAGACTAACATCACTACTGATTTGTTTATTTTTAATTAACTGCCCATCCCAAAATTTTGGATGAATTAGAAGTGGTTACAGTCCTCTATGATGGAAGTCCTATTATTTTTTAAGTGTGTTCTAGTTCAAGTAAGAATAGTTAATAGTCAGGTTTATCCAGGTACATGTAGGTATATAATTTAGCATTGCTGTTTATTTGCTTAATATCCAAAATGAATAAGCCTTGAAAATTAAATTTATATTTTATTATTTTATACAATAGACAGAACTCTTGAATTAAATAATAAAATACAAAAAAAAATAAATATACAATATATTAGGGTGTTAGCACTTCAACCTTGTTGAAGCTGCATGTCACAGGTTATTTCCTACCTTTATCTTTATATTATTGTTATTGATTATGATTATTAAAAATACTGAAAATGTTTCTCTAGATACTATGTCTGGCCAATCAGATTCAGTTTACCGAGCAATGCGAAGCAGCAATCAGAGAAAATAGTCTACAACAGTTCCTTAGTGAGGTCGAAGGTCAACTTGATGCATACACCCAGGCCAATGTCCAGATTGGTGGACAGACTGGTGTCCTAGGACTCAAACTGAAGGTAGGTCAACAAATTAGGTTGCAACTGGTATTCAAACCAAACAAAAGTGCTAAGTTGATGATTAGAAGTATTGTAGATTATACTGCGTATTTGACTTTGATACATTTCACCCAGTGTATTTATATCTCCAAATAATCTTTCATTTTGTAGCCTATTAACATAGTAGTTCTAGAATCACTGTTTTAATAGATAGTGTATTGTGATATCTTGTGTAACCACCAATTTTGTAAACAGTACCGTTGCGCGTGCATTGTCGCATTATGTTCCTTATAGAATCGCGCTGACCGACAACCGTCGGATGCAGTGAGTACCCGGCTTTACTCTAAGCAAATTTATTCAGTTCAGCGAAATCAGTAGTTCTAACTGTTTCAAATTTTTGCGAAGAGAAACAATGCGCAACCCATCAGAGCTCAGAGAGTGAACTGATGCTTTCGAGTGTAAAACTGGCTTAAGGGAAACGGAAATGAGGAGGATCAAGGATGTCACAAAAGAAAATGGATATAACATATAGAACATAGGATGGTCACAGTTGAGTGATTCCATACCAAGCATTTCTTACAAAATCATATTGTCTGTAAAGTCCATAGAGTTATAATTTCTAAGTATACAAGAATTCCAATGCATTCAATGTTCTAAATACACAGAGCTGTGTGTGTGTACTCAACAAGAAGGCTGCTGTAGATTTCTGCATTGCTTTCTCGCCTAGATTGCACTCTAGTTGTCATATTTCACCCATATATTACCAACATATGGGCATGATGATGTTATATTTCACCCATATATGGGCAAAATGATGTTATATACCCATATATGGGCATAATGTTATCATTTACCCATATATGGGCATCATGATGTTATATACCCATATATGGTCACATAAACAGGCCTCAAAATTAGCGCCGGCATTCGGCAATGGTGAGTGAAGCTATGAACAGCACTTTTTTGTAACTTTAAAATTCTGGTAGTATGGTGCCCCCAAAGTAAGATTCCATAATTTATATGAGATAAAAATAAGTGAAGAATAAATAGTTTTAAGAATATTTTAATATATTTCCGATACTTAATGTGATTGTCCCATTTTAAATTCTTATTGATTATAATGCCAAGAAAGTTATCAACAATTTCAATTTCAGTACCCGCAATTTTTAATTTCGGAAGTTCTATCTCTTTTTTTTTTGTGGTTGATAAAAAAATTGACATTTAGTTTTCTTAAGATTCAGAGAAAAATTATTTAATTTTAACCATTGCCACACCTTGCTAAGCTCTAAATTGATATCATTTGTCAAAAACCTGTTTTCAGTATTTTAAATACTTCAAGTGTGTGAAACTCTTTTTTCTACTATTTTTGTTTAACATTTTTTTTATGGTTGACCATGTCATTTTTATATCACTTTTATATTTGTCGAAGCATGAATAAAAAATATGATTTTTTGGCAAGCCAGATGGTTTTCTTAAAAATTGTGTTATATGTGTTTAGATTATAGTTTTTAAATTGATATATTGACTAGTATCTTTTAGAAGTCTGTTTTACCTTTAAATACAATTTATCTTTGAACTTTATTGACCTTATTATGCCTTTAGTTATCCTTGGAGATGTTTATGCTTATGTTTATTTACCTTGTAAGTCATTGGTTTAAAATGATTTCATTAAATCCAAAATAAGAGCATAATATTTCATAATTTCCGTTATGGTTGGGATCTAGATTATTATTAAATTGTGTAATTATATCAGAGTAAGTCCATTTTGAAACTATCTTAATTCTCCTGAATAAATTCATAAAACAAATCTCATTTAGAGCACTGTTCAGATTCTTCATGAATCTCTTCCAATACTAATTCCCCCATTCATTTTTTTTTGCAGTCCAACAGATATCATCAGATATGATCAGATCATCATCTTTAATGGAAATTCCAACACCTCAGGGTTTGTCACTGTTTGGAAGCTTCTACCAACTAGGCATTTCCTCTACCAACTAGACAATAATACACGTTCTAATTTTAGATGTGTATTCTTTCTTAAAATGTTTGCCCACTAACATTTCATAACACAAATCTCGTTTTGAGCACAGTTCTTCACAAACCTTTTCCAACAGTTCCGATCCAATTTTCTCCAGTCCATAGATTTTTGTTATTTAGATCATCATCTTTAAATGAAATTCCAATACCCCAGAGTTTGTCATATTGGGAGGCCTCTACTAACTTAGCATTTCCAGTGGCTTTTAGGGCTTCTAAGCAAAAATTATTTTGAGTGAATTTGAGGCGGAGAGCAGTTTTTATTATGATTTTGGCCTGGTTTTCCCAGGTAGAGATGGAGAAGTTCTTCATTTTTCTACCTTCTTTCTTGCACTGTGCAGGTGTGGCAGATTGCATGATTCTATGAGCAGCTATCTCATCTTTAAAGAGATCAGCTTTATGATACATCAAAAACTGCTCAGGAAAATGGTAAGACTGGTTGTTGTTATCCTTGAAGTGTGAAAGGTAGTGATTAGACAAGGGAGTAAACTTACCATAAAAGGCAATGTTGTTATCACCAAATTTCTTTGTTTGCAATGTCTATAAATCAATACCTGGAATTTGATCTATGGTTTCGCAGGTATAAGACACGTCATCAATGATAAGTTTTTCCTATTCCGTCGTCTTGCCTCAAACATAACTGGTGATAGCTTATTACGGCATGCTGTGATATCAGGAGAAAAGTGTTCCTGCTGACAAATTGTGAACCTTTTGTGGATTTTAGATTCCACACAAGTTGTCGATATCCATAAAAATGAAATCTGCATATAATAGGGCAAATCCCATTCACCTTGTATTTCAATCTGTGACAACGAACTATCAATATCTTAGCAATAGTGTTCATCATCCATGATGTTGCTTCCAGAATCTACGGAGTGTAATTTCAACATTTTCCTTCTTACCTTTAGAGGAAGCATCAGCAACTGCTGCTCTTGCTCCATCACTAACCATATCACCAAAAAATACAGGGATATTACAAAATATGAGATTATCCTATTTAACATAAGTGTTCAAGTTACAATTATCTTTCTTCAGCTGAGTACAAGTTGCTTGAAGTGTACTTATCATTTCTTTGGTATTTTGCAACTCTGAACGGAAATTAAACATCTCATTCCTATTGATTTCAGCCAGACTTTTTGTTTCAGAAGCTGTTTCATGTGCGACATCCAGAGATTGCTTGATGTCCTGTATATCCCTTCTCATAACACTTTGATTTGACATGATTTTATTATGATTAGAATCAACCTTCTTATCTAGGCTGTCTAGTTATTGCAAAATTAGCTCCATTGTGGCTGTATTATTCCCACATTTAACTGATGATTTGTCCTTCGATCTAGTACCTCCACTCATAATAAATACAGTATTGAAATGCTTTTACTGAGGTAATGGAATCCAAAACAATCGATGGACAGTCACTGCATATTATTCAAATTAGGTGCTATGCATAGCAGGTGTCATGGCTGACTAGGCAGGCCTTCGCAAAAGTAAAATTATGCTAGTTGAATTGCTAACAGTGAATAAATTCACTATACCTTAGCTTATACAAAATTCAACTGTTTGGTTAATGGGTACTGAAAGCTTACACAACAGTTGTGTTTAGAGTACATCCCAAAATCTGTACTCACTAGCGTTGGGGTGTGCCCTTCCGACGATTTTCCATACAGCGGGAGATACAAACTCGGGCCCGATCACGCTTTCAATGACAAAGGCCAACAAATGCTTAGCAGAGCTCAGTAATTAAACGTCTGCACTCGACTGTGTTCAATGAATAGGTTGGGCTCTCCAGATTGACTGGGTGACTTGAAAAGACATCCATCGCTGCTACAGCAGGTCAGCATCAGTTTATTTCGGGCTGTAGCTGAAACTATAAGATTTTGAAAAATGCCGGCGATTTTCTTTTTTTTTTTTTTTGCCAACATACTTTTTTCCTAATTTTGAGGGCTGCATAAACGTCATAGTGTGGATAGAGATTAAGACATAGAAAATGTGGTTCATTTTATCTTGAGGAAGAAGGCTGGGTCGTAGCATAATTTCAAACCCAGATCATCTGCTATTTTGTAGGCATTAATTTTGGACACAATTCACGGAATAGATGTCATTCAACTTCTAATGAAGAACAATATCACAAGCACAGAAGAATGGCTGTGGCAAAAACAACTACGCTACTACGTCAAAGAGGACGGCATCGCAATAATGCGCATGGTGGACGCAGAATTTGAGTACACGTATGAGTATCAAGGTAAGCCTGCTCTTTCTCACATTATGTACAGAATGTTTTTTTTCAATAGAATAACAGTGAAATTATTAAATTGATTTATATCTATACCTGATGATTTTTTTTATGTTAATAAATAATTTATAATTGAAAACTTGCTTTTAGTATTATCTGTCCAGTCCAGTCCATTTTTTTTTTTTTTTTTTATATTG